CACACACAGCGCACACACACACGCACACACACACACACACACACACACACACACACACACACACACACACCTGCAGATAGTATATTCTTTGAGACTGTTACTAGCTAGAAAGTGGTGAAGGTCAGAGCATGGATTCTTCTCTCTTGGCTTAGCTGGATGGAGTAAATCTAGCCCTGGGTTATATTTTATATTCTGTAAAGTGTATGCCTTATTGAGGTTAAAAGAGCTTTGGTGGAGTAGTCTGTGAGGAACGGGCACCTCAAAGAGACAAATACTTCTGTTACATAAACAGTCGACTCGTCCTGTGCTTCACAGTTAGACAAAGCAGGTGTCAAGTCCAGACACTGCAGCATCGGTGTTGCTGGAAGAACAAAGATTATTTTATATGGGGTGAAACCATCCTTCCAGTTAAAATAACAACAGCTCTGCAAGATCAGACAGTGAGGCTAGAAGGAGAAACTGTCTATGGCTAAGAGGGGGATGAAAATATCCCATAGTAAAATTGGTGCTGTTATAAGTACCACCCTACTCCCAAAGACACCCCTTACCCAGCACTTGTGAAGCTTTATCCTGAAGAAAAAAAAAAAAAAAAAGACTGTGTTTAAGCCTCAGGAGTGCTCTACAGGGAGCAGGGAGGGAGAAATCCCAGAATTCCCAGCATTGTCTTTTATTTCTAGTTTCATGTTAGTCTAGCTTCCCAGGTCTTTTTTGTAGCAGCAAATTTTTGTTTATCTGCATTTTTTTTTTTTTTTTTGGAGAGACTTGACTTCAACACATCTCTGGAGAGAACAGTTGGCCTGTGCCTACTGAGCCCTACTGGTACAAAAATAAACTATCTGGGCTCCCATTGGCTCTTCATGTCACTATTGGACTTGGGTATTTGCGGTCTTCCTCAGGAAGTGGTTGACTTTGAAAACAGAAGTGTAACTCCTGGTCCCACCTCTTAGCAGCAGAGATGTGGGGCATCTCTGTGATTCTCCATCTGTTTCTCACTTGGAACAAAGATTTCTTCTAACGCAGTGTGATCCTTGAGAAGGGAGAGCTGCATGCCAGTGAAAGGACCGGGACTTCGAAACTACATACCCCAAGACCAATTTCTCAGCACCAAGGAGAGCTATTGCCCCAGAAGAGCAGAGGGCAGGGAATAAGAGACAAAGAGAAGCAAGGGGAAAGGAACAAGTTAGAGGGGGAAGGGATATTTGCCCCAGGGGGACAAAGGACTGACTGTGGATAAAGAGGAGTCAGAAGTGACCCATAGGCAAAGGGAAGTTTGTAAAGAGAAAGGGGAAACCTGAATCAGGATGAGCTGGTTAATTTTGATTGGGCATGCTAATTAGGGCATCCAAAAGGGGGCCTTTGACTGCTGGACTTCAAACCTTTAGGAATATTTTAGGACTTCAGAAGCTTTAGGAATCTAATCTCATGGTTTACAGAACAGAGGGAATGGAGAAGAAGAGTAAGGGAAAAAAAACCGTTGGCACCCTGTTCTCCATGCTTGGGCCTGTTAAATCCATCCGGGTAGCACCTGCCCATTTCTCACTATATATCCCTCCTCTCGGTTACGAACTACTAAAAACTTACAGCTCCTTGTACCTCTTAGGTGAGGTCAGCCTCATCAGTGACAGCGATGCAACCCTGAGGCCCTAGCTGGCTTCCGGTTCACCCACATTCTTCTCTGGGCACACCCAACTGGGGCTGCTGCTGCTGTTCCTTCAGAAGTGCCCTCTGCTCCTCAGGGTGCAATGCTCCTTTTGTGCAAATACTCCATTATTTTCTAGTATGTGTTCTTTGGTTTAGAAAGCCTAGTTCAACATTCCTCTCACACACACATACACAACTCTTGCCTTCCCTAGGGTCTTCCCTTACTACAGCGCAAGCCTCAGTGTGTCTGCTTCACAGATGGAAATCTCCCAGGACGTGCCAAAGCCTTACCACATACTGTAGATGGAATAGCCAATCCCTTTCTTAACCTGTGCTATTTTCTTTGAAAACATCCATCTTTGTTTTCACTATCAGATTACAAATTCCATGAAGATGAAATCCATAACACACACGCTTTGCATCTTCTAGAGTGGCAAGCTAAGAAAACAAGCAAATATCAGGCCTTGGGGGAAAGCACATTGGCATGACTCATAAAGTACACGCTGGTTAACCACTTACTATTTGTCGTGGACTATTCTAACATCTCAGACGACAACCTAAAGGAAATGAAATCTAGGTTCACACTCTGCAGCTCCCCGGTCTGTGTTGATACAAGAACATTCTGAGCTTTCCACCCTTTCTGTAAGAACTAAGATAGATTATCCCTACTCTCTGTACAACTCAGCATTCTCTGGCTTTTTAAGAGTGATGATTGGTATTTATCAGGCACTAAATTATCTCATGATGTGACCTTTACTCCATCAGACTGTGATTATTGTCTGTAGTAATAGAGTGTACTGTAGGTTTTTCTCTTTCCTGCCTGCCAGCTCCCAAATGTGACACAGAGAAGTCTTATTAATTGTGAAAGCTTGACCAACAGCTTAACTAGTTCTCACAACTTAAATTAACCCATTTCTATTCATTTACATCCTGCCATGTGACTTGTGGCTGTTGTCTCTACCTCCTGCACATTCTGCTTCCTCTATATCTGGCTGATCCTCCTTCTCCTTCTTCCCAGAATCTTCTCTGCCCCCAAATCCTGCCTAACTTTCAGCCATTTGGCTTTGTATTAAACCAGTCTGGGTGGCAAATCTTCACAGTGTACAAATAGATTATCCCACAACAGCTTATTTGTTCAATAAACATGTGCTGAAGATTCTTATATGCAAAACAGCATGGTGAAGACGCCAGAGGATCATCAGTGAGCAAGACTCAATCTCTGCTTCAGAGACCCCCCTCCCTTCCCTACCCTAATTCACCAAGGCCGAATTCCTCCCTGGGCACACTCAACCCTGAGGCTGGGGTTTTTGATCAGGTCTTGCATTTCATTCATAGAGGAATGGTTTCCAACCATTCCAACACAAGTCTAATTATCTGATGGAATATTCTTAGTACCATATATTTAAAGAAGTTTAAACAAATGGATTGTGAGTATCCAGGGCTCTTTGAGCCACCCTTTTGCCTCTGCAGTGCCGCCTCAAGGCTTATATTGGGCGCAGTTACCTAGAATAGCTCCATTTGCAAAACTTTCCAGGAGAGTTTGTTCTGTTAAAGACAAGTTAAAGACAAGGCTTCACCTGCTCTTCCCCCTCACTGATTGGAAATAACAGTAAAATAATTGGCAGGGGCTACCTATGATCTTACTGTGGCTGGTGGAACTTTGTTCAACATATATTTAACTGTTCTGGGTGAATTTTAACACCCACACTCCCTTGACAGGCCGTGGGCTGTGTAGCTCTTCAAATGAGCCTTGTGTCTATGTGTGATCTTCCTATTGGTCTGAGATTTCCTGGTTATAATAGCAATGTCCTCATCGCACCTACCAATTTGTAATTTGGGGCTAAAATAGCATCTCAGACTTGCCTGCTTTGACATACTTAAATACTCCTATATACTTTGCCACCTGGGCTGAAGTCACTTGGAACACACATTCAATTTTAGCATCCATAAAGGGTATTGTGCATATCCTCCAGGTTCATTCACAATGCAAAAGGCTTGCAAAGGAACACTAAGAGGTATCACTCGAATTAGTGAGGGTGATCCTGTTCTCAAAACCAAGATAGCCACGTCCTCTCTTGGAAATGTGTCCTGCATGAGGCAAACACAGACTCGGCATTAGGTCCAAACACCAAAATTGTAGTCTGTGTTCATTCAGGTCTTGGTTAGGCAGCCGTGTTGATGAGGCCTTATGACTGTAGACTCACTGGCATTTCTAGGAGATACAGTTCCATGGTCCTTTGTGGCTCTTAAAATAATTCTGTCTGCTCTGCTGCAATGACCGTTAAGCCTCAGGAGTGTGGGGGCTGTGTGTTGTAGATGCATCAGTTGGATTAGTCATGGTCACTAATTAAAAGTTAAAAGACAAGCAAGTGTGGTCATCAAGCAAGAAGGTTGTGTATCACTATGTGTTTCTCCATAAGTTACCCACAAGCCAGATCTCTATGAGGGGGACGGGATGACCTCCCCTTGATTGCCCTAACTTTGATCTACCTTACAATAGGTATACTTTCCTCAGTATTAAGGTGAAAAGATTGGCAAAACTCAAGATCTGCATGTTTATGAAGTGCATGTGATGCTGGTGTCTATATTTATTTACAGACATCTAATGTATACATAGAAAACATGACAACAGCCAAGCTGATTGAGTGACATGTGCATGGTTCCCCTTATCCTCATGCTAAGGTCATCTGATGGTCTTCCTGCTCTTCTAGGGTTCTGTAAGAGTGGCTTTAGTGCCTTGCTCACTCTGTAAATCATAGTTTAGCTGATACCATTTAACAGGCAATAGATGTACTCTGTTATATTAAGATTATATCTAATGTCCAAGTTATCCTCCATATCTTTCCTTTAAAAATACTTTACATGTATTTAGTGAGGGTGGTTGGGGGAATGCACATACACAGGTCACACATAACACACATGTGAAGGTCAGGGGACAATGTGCAGGCTTGAATCGTATCCTTCTACCATGTGGATCCCGGAGTTTTAACTCAGGTGACTGCTCTGAACCGCGCATTCACGGCAGCCTCATCTTGAACCATCGCCATACCTGCAGTGCAGCCAGTTCCAAATCTAGCACATCCCATGCCTTGTCTGCCTAGAGCTGCATTTTCAAACAGCACTCTGTGAGCTGAGGATCTTTACATCAACTAACAAGGCCTGTTGACCGGCTCAGAGGACCTGGAAAGTATCACTCTTCACTAATGGGGGCTAGAGTATGAACACACACTGTAAATCCCTTTTCTGAATCAACAACAACCAAGAGCACCAGAGTTAGTTCATTTCATCTTTGTGGTAAGAAAATGATGGCCTGGGAAAAAAGCTCAATAAAGCTGACACACAATCCGTTTCCTTCCCAGTCACAACATTCTTCTCTACGAGGACGGCCATGCTGTGGTGTCAGATTTTGGAGGTAAGATGCCCAGAAACAGCATCCTTTCTTCATTCATACCCGATGTCTGATAGTGTACATTAATAACCTGGAAACAGATTTCACACCGCTGGTATTTCTGTTTAAATTTCAGTTTGACCTTGCACTTTGAATGTATGCCATTTGCACTTAGGTTTCCTTCTTTGCTATCAAGGCTGGAAAGAGGGAAATGAAATTTTAAATGGGACTAAGGTGTCCTGCATCTTTGTATTTTTGCTGTGATCTTGGGCCTAGGGATCCTAGGGATCGGAACACTTCCTTTGACATGGACTTGTTTTCTCTCCCCTTTAGAATCAAGATTTCTGCAGTCCCTGGACGAAGACAACATGACAGAACAGCCAGGGGTCTGTGGCTTCCTCCTTCCTTGTTAAACAATCAAAATGCGTAACTTCAGTGTGGGAGGAAGGAAAGTAGGAGTAGCCTTAGCCAGCAAATGCTGTTGTCTGGATGGCAGGGTACTTTTTAGGGTTTTATTTTCATACAACTCCAAAGTAACAATTTGAGGGGTCCCCTACTTGGAAAATGTGGTAGAGAATAGCTCAGCGGACACTTTCCAAACATAACCTGGGTGCGCTGGCAGGCACTGGTCACCGATGTCACAGAGGAGGAGCATGTACAGGTGGGCCAGTGGCTCAGCCGCATCTGTCAGGATTCTTGGCTCTCCCCACCAGTCACTGGGTAACGAGTCCTATAGCTGAGCATTAAGGCTCCAGCAAAGCACAAATTACAACGTGACACAACGACAATTCTTCCCAGATTGCCTGCAACTCAGTTCATCCCTGTGTGTCCCCATTACCTTAGCTTCATTCCTCCACACGGGCAGCCTGCTTCTCCCTGGACCCCTGAGGTATCTGACCCCTCTGGGGGTAAGCTCCACCCTTACTCATTACTCAAGGCTTCTGTGTGTGGCTTTGTTTCTTTTCTACTTTCAGTTTATGATCCACCACCTCAGATCCGAAAGCACCATGATGGTCCCTGTCTCCATCCCTCTTCTGGTTTAGCCCTCTTTGCCCATGGTCTCTGCTGATGTTGCTGGGGAAAGCAGTCCTATCATGCATGCAGTACCCAGGAAGTACAATTCAAGTCTCCCCTGGAAACTTTCTTCCTGGCTCACTCTCTGATCCCAGGGCCGCTCTGTAAATTTCTTTTCCACCACTAGGTGCTTCCTGCAGCATAGGAGCCATCCATCCATCCCCCATCATGCTGGATACCTGCATATACCCCTGAGTCTCACAAGATGAGGCATTTTCATCCTGGTGAGGGCCCCAGACAGGGCTCACCATAACAGTAATGCCCCGAAACTTTTCCCTCCATGCTGTTGTGTGCACTCAGATCCATTCAACAAGCATTTACTGAGGTCCTAGCTTGTGTCAGCAGTTGCTCAGAGGGACAGGAATATAAAAAGAGAATGAGTTTGCTTCTGGATTGTAATGAGTTCATTTGCCAGCGGGCCAGCGCAGGGATGATCAAACAGATTGAAAGCCGCCTGGGAGTTTCACGGAGCATGGGCAAAGCTCAGTAGGGTGGTCAGGCATTCATCAAGAGGTGTCCTGGGAAGGGAGTGCAGGCAGAAGAAGCAGGATAAACGGGGGCAAGGTATGAGTGAGAAGCCAAGTTGTACTGGAAAAAAGCAATGCGTCACCAACACGTCCTGTGAGAGGAGAGAGGGGAGAGGGAAGGATGGAGAGAAGAAGACAGCAGTCTCAGCACGAATCTGTAAGTGTGCTGATGCCTCGCAGTTCCACCCTCGGTATGCAGTTCTCCATTGCTGTCTTGAAACACCCAAGTTTAGGCATGTTATAAAGATTTACGGCCTATTTTCCGGAGGCCAAAAGTCCAGGAAGCATGCTGCCTTCCAGTGAGGACTGTCACTATCTGCCTCATTTCCTAGAAATGTATGACAGTGTTATCAAGTGTGCCGCGCTCTCATGGCCAAGGGGGAAGCCAGAAAAGGGAGGGTCCAGCCTTGCTCACGCGTGAACTGGTGCAGGGGGTAGAGGAATGACAGCAATGCCTTCCAGTTAGTTGTCAGGACCCCAGGTGCCCTAAGTGTCTCCACACAGCCCTGCTTCTTAAGGCTTCTGCCCCTCTGCAGCATCAACATAGTGACAAGTGAGTCCTTGGGCGCCAGACTCAATTCCCATCTGAACACACGACCTCTTAGACTTCACATACTATCCCAACCCGCACAGTCTGAGGCCTGTGGGTTTGCAATGATCCAAATTGGGGGCTGCAGAGACGCCTCCATGTATCAAGCATGAGGGCCAGTGTTTAGATCCCCAGCACTCATGTAACACGCCAGACCCCAGTGCTGGATGGATGGAGGCAGGAAGACCCCTGAGGCACACTGGCTGGCCAGGCCAATTTAGACAAAATGGTGCCATCAGCCTCTGGCTCTGCACACAGACAAACACTAAGTCAATTATTGTTCATTGAACAAATGGACATACAAAAATGGCAGTGAGTGTTAACAAGAGAAATGCCCAGAGAACCCATAGACTGCCCAGGACTCCCAACTAACACCCACATTCAGGCAGTCTGGGTCAGTACCATGCTAGTTCCCCAGCTGTCGGACAGGACTCCGTGAGCTCCCCTTGTTCAGGTCAGCTGTTTCCGTGGGTTTCCCCAGCCTGGCCCTGACCCCTTTGCTCATCACTCCTCCCTCTCTGCAACTGGGTGCCAGGAATTTGGCTCAGTGCTTAGCTGTGGGTGTCTGCTTCTGCCTCCGTCAGCTACTGGGTGAAGGCTCTAGGATGGCATCTAGGATGGGAGGGAGAGGGAACTGGGATTGGTATGTAAAAGAAGATTGTGTTAATTTAAATAAAAATTTATGATAAAAATAAAGAAAATCCTACACAGTAAAAATATGCATGGAGTGTGTTAGGTCCACGGATAGGTGAAATGCTATGGTGTTTAATAAGAGACTCATGAGGAGCCCACCCTCATGGTTGGTGGACACTGAAGGCAGGTCCAGTGGCTCTGAAATAAGAGGGCTCTAGGAGTGTTCAAAGCTAGTGGCATGGGTATACGAGGGAGGATGAGCATAGTTGTAATGGGGTGACAGGGGTGGAGTGTGTCTTTTGGGGGAAGAGATCTACAAATCTCACCTAAACCCTGAGGGCCAGAGAGAAGCTTGATCTACATATTCTAGCCCTGAATGCGCTAAATTAACTTACCTTAGATTAAAAAACAATAATAAGCAATGCACGAATGTGACCCCTGAAAGCTATGACTGCGTGGGTCTTGGGTACTTGGGTCTTGTAGTCCTGATGGAGGAGTTTCCTGTGTAAACACCTGATTCCCTCCAACTGAGCCAGTTCTGGTGGGTAGAACTAAACTGAATCTCACCCTCAGAGAGTGAAATGAATGCTTTTGCTTCACAGCATAGCTTTTAAGGAAAACACTCCCCTCAAATTATTCTGTTGCTTTATTTCTCGCTGGCTGTAAGGCTGTATCTAAGTTTCTTGATTATTTTGTACTCTGCCTCCCCGCTTCAAGCATGCAGACCATCAACCTGACCTCAAGCATGCACTGTTACAGCAGTGTGAGCTGAGGCTCTCCGGAATGCAGGGGAAGCTCCTGCAGAGGAACCGTGTGTACCAATGCCAACGATAAGCCATTGGGGTTAATTCTACACCGTTTCAACATGATGCAGAAACAGTCAGAAGGGTTATCAGAAGCAGCCACACACAGAGCTTTGGCAAGGGTATGAACAGGTTACCACTCCCTTCCTTGCCCGAAGGAAGGTGATTGGGGAAGTCCATTGACAGGAGATGAGCCCGGGAGACCTCAGAGCTGGAACTCTGAGTTGGGAGAAACCACCCAGTCAGTGGTGCAATGTTCACTTCATAAAGCAGAACCTGAAGGTCTTCTGGCTTTTGAACTTCAAAAAAAATGAAAATTATTTATTTGCATTTCTGATCACTAATGATCACTAACGAGGCTAAAGGTGTGCTTGTAACTTGTAGCTTGTTTTCTAGAATAGTGCAGACACTGAATTTATGAAATTAACATCAGGGCAGACATAAGAAATTCCAGATCCTCGATCCTACCAGGGAGAAATCTCCATCACGGGCAGGCTGGATGACTTTTCCATGGCTCACTCTGTCCTCTGTCATGGGAACACAGTAATGGGCGTAATTTAGTCACTCACTTAATTGGAACCAGGAAACTGAAGCAAGGGAAGGTGTCTCCCACAGTGTGAGTCATGCAAGGGAACTGCTGGGAATGACCCCAGATTCTGGAGCCTGCAGGGTGTCCAGGGCAAAGACGGTGGTTGGGATCGGGAAGAAGAAGGTACAAAAGCACGACCATCGCTGAGATGCTGTTACTTGTCATCAATGTTGAAGGTATCTTAGAGAGATCAGATTTTATGTTCTTCTAATGGTTCTGAATTTTGAGAATCTGATGCCCATGAGTGTTTGTTGCATTGGTGAAGAGCGGAGGGGCCATCCCTTCCTGCCCGTGCCATCTGAGAGCATTGGAGAACCTTCTCCAGTCCATTCTCAGAAGCTGACTCTGGTCGTCTTTGGTCTATGCAGAACTTGCGCTGGATGGCTCCCGAGGTGTTCACACAGTGTACGCGCTACACCATCAAGGCAGATGTCTTCAGCTATGCCCTGTGTCTGTGGGAGCTCCTCACCGGAGAAATTCCCTTCGCGCACCTCAAGCCAGGTAGGATCTGCTCCACCAGAGCAGTTCTGTTTCCCAGTACAATTCACAGAGAGTCTGGACAGCATCCCTCCAAAAAAGATAATTATTCTAGCGGGGGCAAGAGATCTTGCACTGTTTGTAGGTGAGCATTCCATTCAGAAAATATTACGGCCTCACTCTGGATTTAGACATAGGTATCTAGATGTACAGAGTCTTTATTCAAACTTAGAGCTTTGATTTATTTATTTCTAATAAAACAAGCAAATTGCCCTGAGTATAAATAGACAGATAAAGTGATCAATGTGTTCACTTTAGAGCTCAGGTTTTAAAGGTGTCTTTTAAGTCTGTATCTTGGGATGAGGTAGTGTCAGTGCAGAAATAACCTGTCAGGACTGAAAACACATTTCCTAATAATTTTGTATTAGGTGTGACTATGTTCTAAAAAAAAAATAATCAAGTTTTTTGAGTGAGTCTAATTATCACTGATGGTATAAATTATACTCAATTTACATGTAGAATGTGGAGAAGAGACATCTATTCAGAGGCAGGATTGGCACATAACGGTCTCAAGGTCAATTGCCTGAACATGTGTGAGCAGGTACACACTCACAAGTCAGAGAGAGCCTAGGGTGTCCCCATCTGTCAAGCTCTGCCTATTTCCTGAGGCAGGGTCTCCCCCTGGCTGGAGGCAAGCCAGCTCCATCAGCCCTCCCTTTACTACCCTCCAAGGAGTGGGGATTACAGGTATGCACAAGGAAGCTGGACTTGTCACAGGGCACTGGAATCGGAACTCCAGGCCTCATGATTTCAGACAAGGGCACATCACAGCTGAGACATTTCTCCTGCCCGAAGATCAACTTCATTTGCATACCTTATTGTTTACAATGTTCTACTGTCTTCTCCTGAAGCTATGTAAAGACCCTGTGTTCCCGATTATGAAATAAAATTTGACGTAAATCTTCAGTGAACTACATTTCCTGTTGCTGTGATGATCACCCTGTAACAATATACCACAGAGAAAATCAAAGTTTGTTAAAAAGCTAAACCAAGACCATCATACCTATCAGTGGTGATCTACAGAGGGAATGCCCAGGCTGTGAACCCTTTTCAATAGTGTTTAGTACCAGGGTGTTCCAGTGTTTTCCATGATGAGTCAACCAATGATGTAACCACCCCCTGTTACGCTAAGGAAGTCAGTTTTCTTGTGAACTGGACCAGCAATACCCTTTGGAGAATGTTGTTACGTTTTCTGGCTGTCTTGTTACCTGATGGTGAATACTGTAAAGACATTTGGGGATTTGACAATTGGATTCTAATTGCAGGTGCAGGCGATGTGCTTTGTTAATAGAGAGACACAGCTGCCTTTTCCTAATTCTGTGTGTCAATCCATTCATCTGATACTGCTAATTTCTATTTAGAAATTATCTACCATTTGCCATCCTCCATCACCTGTCAGGTTCAAGCTACAATATTTCATTTAACTTGTTGTCATTATATCCTGAGTCAAATTTACTGAGACCTAACAAAGAACCAAAAACTATCTTTTTAGGTTGTCAGTGAGTTTTAGTAAATATGTGTAGTTGTATAACCACAGCCTTCCCAAGTCAGCACCTCCCGGCACTCCAGAATGTTCTGTGCAGTTCCTTGAAGCAGTGCCCTTGTTTCTGTGTCTACAGGTTACTTTCCCCAGATCATCTCAGAAAGGGAATCATTGCCCTGTTGATCTGTAACCCATTCTTTCTCAGTCCTGTGTAATAAATTTGACTGCAGAGTCCAGCTGGTGACATTTTGAGCTACTCTAGTTTAGGGTTGTGGTGGTGAGGATTACCAAAACTATTCAGGAGACTGTGTACTTATTTTTATTTTTCTTACATATTCATTCAAACGATAAATGTTTCCCTGTTCTGTATACCACTGGAATTCTTCAGCAGTATCTGACAATGTATGTTGAAATACAAAGCTTTTTGACCATTCAAGCGTGGGTATACCCTATGATGACTGCTATTGATAACAGACTGATACGCATATCCGGCTATTTATTTCCTAAAGTGTTTTCTTATTGTCTTAGTGTTCAGTTGTAAGAGTGTTTTGGCTCTGGATGAATCTACAGTGAGGATGCAATGACATTGATTAGCAATCTGCTCAGCTGCGCCTTCAAAGACCAAAGATTCTTCACTTATGAAATCCCTCTTATCAAACTTCTATACAATTTTAATGTCTTGTCTAAAATATTCACAGATACCTTGTTTTCCTATTACATGTTATATGAAGACCTGACAGGCTCAGGTTTCATAGCGATGAAGTCTGCTTTGTATTTTCTATGCTCTACATAGATGGGGTGAATTAGCTATCTTTTGTTCAGTTGTGTGTGTGTGTGTGTGTGTGTGTGTGTTTAATATCAACATTTAGTTGTTTCAGTATGATTTGTTGAAGTAAACTACATTTTTTTCAATAAATTATTATAGCACTTTGTCAAGAATCAGTCAAAAAGATGCATGCGAATTTCTGGTACTTTATAAAATCCACATCAAAACTGACCTTAGTCCACACATATATCGCTGCCACTCTCTCTTAATAGCTGCCACCCTGTCAACATTACTCTTTAACTTTGTCCTTCTTTGTAAGAATTGCTTTACCTATGTGTGCTATTTTTATTTTCAGTATAAATTTTAGAAGTTGCTTGTTCACTCTGTAAAAGAAATCTTGGAAAATGAAGCACCGTGCATTTCGTCCTTAGACTTAATTCACTCTAGTTCAGGATGAGTTCATGTTTCAATCACATCATTCTCAGGAAACACAGTTCTCCCCCTTTGTTTATATCTACTTTCTTTTGATGAACTTGTAACGTTATATGAATATTAGATAAGTTTTAGATTTCACTATGAAGCTTTTTTACTTTTGCATGGCATTTTGTTACTTTTTAATTTAATTATTTGAAAACTTCATACATGAGTATTGTATTGCATAATTCCCACCCCCTCATCTTCCCTTTCAATGACTCCTGTGTCCCCCATTCCCTATCAAATACATGACTCTTTCTTCTTAATTCCTACTTCATATAAATAATACACGTGTGTGTGTGTGTGTGTGTGTGTGTGTATGGGTGTGTTGTGTGTATGGGTGTGTGTGTATGGGTGTGTGTGTGTATGGGTGTGTGTGTATGGTTGTGTGTGTGTGTGCATACAACCTATTGAGTCCATTTAGTTGCTCATATGAACCTGTGTTCATATCAAGAGGCTCAGACCTGGAAAAATGCATTCTCCTTCTCTTTTCATTCATTGATTGCCCGCATCTCTTGGTCTAGAGGTGGACACTTGTGAGAGCTCCCCCATCCATCCTTTCTCCTTGCTTCTCTTCTTCTCCCCATCCTTCTTTTCCTCTTACTTTCTTTTTGCAATTGCTTTGTTATTTTTAGTAAATTTTTCCAAACATCTCTGAAATGCAACCACTTATCCCCATCTCCTCTACATAGTGGATTCCTTAGTTTTACGTGCACAGTACTGCACAGTATTGGTTGGTTGGTGCTTGTTTGTTTTGTTGTTATTGTTGTTGTCATTTGGTTGGTTATTGGCTAGTTAGTTGTTTGGTTGGTGGTTGGAGGTTGGCTGATGGTTCCTTGGTTGCTTGGTTGATTGTTGCTTGTTTATTTTGGTGGTTGGTTGGTGGTTGGTTGGTGGTTGCTTGCTTGTTGGTTGGTTTCCATTAGTGGGACTAATCATAGTTCTTCATCATGCATGGCAAGTGCACTGTCACTGAGTTACCCACCTAGGACAGATCATAGAAACATCCTTGTCACCAGTTTTGACTGCCATCCTTTTTTTCGCCAATTAGTAGTTTTAGCATTCTAATTTTTTATTTATTTAATTAAATGATATCCCTCATTTGAAATCCCTGATATCTATCCTGTGTTCCCACAATAACAACATTCATAAAACCATCTCCGCAAATGTCCAACAAATACATGGAAAAAAATATTCCCAGCATCCTGGGAATCCATCAGGAAAACACTATAAAGAGGATAACCCGATTGTGGTTAGAATGGCTTTACCAAAAATTTAAAAGGTAGCAAATATTGTTGGAGATCTAGAGGAGAGGCAGCTTAAATACCTCTTCATAGGAATATAAATTATTACAGCCATCATGGAAGTGCTTTGATAAACTAAAAATAGAGCCACCATATTATTCTGTGTTGCCTGCATGGGGGGGGCATGTATCTAAGAGAATGTGAAATTAGCATGCTAAAGAAACACTGGCATCTCTGTGTTATGGCAGCAGCACTCACAGTGCTAAGCTATGGAGCTAGAGCCAGTGGGCAGATAAATGGATAAAGGGAATGTGATTACCCCACAGACAGAGTGGAAATATTACTCAGTGATAAAGAAGAATGAAATCCTGTCATCTCAGCAAAATGGATGGAACTGGGTGGCATCCTGTCCTGTGAAATAAGACGGATTTAGGAAGGGCAGTAAGGAGGGAGAAGAGCAAGTTAGGTGATGAGTATGGAAACAGAAGGAAAAAGTTGTGGTTTTCCAAAGCACACCAAGAGACTATAATTCACGATAAGCTATTACATATTTTATGAAGACATAAAAGAGAGATCCTTGAAGCCTCTAAGAATGGAGAAAAGTAAAGAGAGCAAAGTGCTACCTACCCTAGTTCAGTTGGTGCATGGTCTGACACGCGCATGTTTCCAATCATGCTTCATTAGTGTGCTCAATTAATACATGTTAATCAGGAATGAAATAGATACATGAAACCATCCAGAAACTTCTATGCTCCTGCTTTATGCAGCAAGTCTCCCTCCTCCTGTACTTACCCTGTGATCACTGGCCATCACTTGCCCTCTGCCTTCCCTTTCCCATGTGCCTGGGATGTGTCGGTTTCTTTTCTGAATCACTGTCCCCCCCCCCCTTCGTTCATGTGGATGTTGTGTGTTGTTAGGTCTTTCCTAACCTAACAAAAAGTTCTTCCCCACAATGTTATCTAACTCTCTCTCCTCGTAAGTGTACTTTTCTGTCCCC